ATAGATTCAAAGAATTTATAATTTAATTTTTAGCTTAATACCTTATATATTTAGCTTTGTACAAGTTTTTAAAAAGTGTCCATAATGTCATGATACCCACTGTATTTAAAATGTATTTTACAACTTGACTATATTTTTCATTATATAATTTACTCTATACAAACACCTTTTACTATAAAGTTGTACTAATCAACTATTTTTATAGATTTTAAAACAAGACTCTCAAGTTATTAATTATGCAAGTGCTATAAAAAATTTAATTAATAACTATCAATTTTAGATTGATGTTAAGCAATTGCAGAATATTTTTGGCTTAGTAAAAAACTATAAAATATATAGAGTTTTAAACTATTTTATTAATAGATGTATTTGTTAAGCTAGTAAAAATAACTATTTCAATTTAAGAAATTTTTGTTCTTTACAATAGCCAGTTTTGGTGTGACTGCATTGCAATTTATAATAAGTGATAAAATGAATTTGATATAGGATTATATCTTTTAGTATTCTTTTTACATCCAACTTACCATAGTATTTTAAAAGTCTAACAGATATTAGTATTTAGTATGTTTCAAACATGTGCTTAAATTTTAATATTTTTTTTTTTTATAATAGGAGATTTTCTTAATTATAAGATATAAAAAAGCATGTTTTTAAAAGAGCATTAGAAATATGAATACAATTAGGTAGCTGTTAGACAAGTTGTAAACTTTTAAGAACTTAAATGAATTTGTACAAAAATAAAGAAGATCCCTTTAAAGAAAAATTTATTGAATTTGCTAATATAATAATTAATTGGTGGATATCTATAGAACTTAAAAAAAATGAATATCATATCAAGATGCTTGCTATACGAATTCATTCTATTTCTCCTCATAATGCTATGTATGAATGTACCTTTAATATACTAGACTAGTATTTAGAAAAAAGACAAACAAAGTATATATATTTACTATAGCTATATATATATATATATATATACATATATATATGTTATTATATATATAGTTTTAAATACTATTTTTAGATTAAGCATTGATCGACTAGAGTTAATAGCTCAAATACATTCATTTTTAGTAAAAAATATCAAATTAGAACTTAACTATATTAACCAAAATCTTTGCTATAAGGATTTTTTAATTATTTTTAATAAAATTGCAAATTTTATAGAAAATAGTACTGATTTATTTAATAGTGATTCTGTTTTTTTTTCAGAGCTTGAAGATATAGAAGAAGTGTTTTCTAAGAAAACAGATAATTCTGTTAGTAAAAATTTGTTAAATTTAGAAATTAGAAATTTTATATCTTTATCTTTCAAACTAGAGTCCAATGAATCATCAAGTTTAATTGAAGAAATTGAACATGAAGATAGAAATTTTGATTTGAATAATTTGATTATTGATGATTCAGACTGATAATATAATTTCTACCTCAAACAGAAGATAGTTAATTTTTTAAAAAAAAACTACAAACTATTTAGAAATTTTAATTTTATTATAATTCTAAATTTTTTTTTTTTTTTTTTTTAACTCTTTGATAGTCTTGTCGGTACCTTTATTACTAGATAATTACTTTTACATATGTTATTCACATGTTATTTATCTAAACTAAAATA